AAATTGAAGGAAACTGCAGTGGTCTAACAATTTACATTTGGGAAGAGGGACCTTGACACTGACTTATTTGGTCTTCCCTTCCTTGCACTTCAAGCCTATTGACCAAACCCCTGTTTCTTCTCTCTCTCTCTCACTCACTATAAATTTAGCTAAACTTGTTACTCAATTCCCTCATATCAATCATCTGTGCTCATAACTCCTCTCTGATTCAACAAACACTTTCCAAGTTCAACCAATAAAAAGCTAAACACCAGATACGATAATGGTTCTCTTCTCAGCCATTTTCAGTTGCTTCTTTCCATCACCACAGTCGTCACAGGTCTCCGATGATCCCAGAAGCGAAGAAAAGAAGGCGCCTTCAATGGTCAAAGATAAAAGAAACTCAAAATCATCTAAAGAAGCGGCAATCGTGGCGTCGTATTTCCCGATTAACTCAATTCTCTCTCGCTTCTAGTAAATGACGTGCACTGAACATACAATTGAGTTTATATATGCTTTGCATAGAATTCTCGTGGCTACAGGAATTTTGAGATGGAGAAACGCTGGCCGCTTTGGGCATGGTAACTTAGGCTAAGTTTGACATGATTGAAAAAAGACAAAAAGTCAAAAAGTCACTATCCTATTTAAGTCACATCATCTTATTTAAGTCACATCACCTCTCTAACACATCACTTCAAACCCAACCCAAACCCAATCCATATTTCATAAAAAGTCAAAAAGTGCACTTATTTAGTCTTTCCAAACTAGGCCTAAATAAGTGCACTTTTTGACTTTTTATCAAATATGAGTTGGATTTGAGTTGGGTTTGAAGTGATGTGTTAGAGAGGTGATGTGACTTAAATGAGATGATGTGACTTAAATAGGATAGTGACTTTTTTACTTTTTAGATTTTTTGGAAGATGGGCCAAGTTTGGCAACCCAAAAATAATTCATCTTTTTTATCTTTTTTCTATCACATCACCTCTCTACTTTTCTGCACATCTTTTTATAAAAAGACAAAAAGTACACTTATTTACGTCATTCCAAACAACCCCTTATTTGCTTGTATAAATATAAATATCTAGGAACATGAATGTTAATTATCAATTGCATTGATAAGAATCTATTGATTATGTATATTGTGAACTTAATGTTGCGGTCACAGTGAGATTCACAGTTTAAAGATTTGAAACCTTAAATATGTTGTGTCACTATAGAATTAATATTTAATTGAAGGCATAGACCTCTCGGCAATATTTTGAAACCAGATTAGAGAGGCCAGTTCAAGCAATGAACCCATTCGCTAGTCATGTTTTTTGCCAAACAAACCACCAAAGCCGTTTGGACAATAAAACCTGTGTTTGCAAAAACCGGCAAAACACATGTTTTAACTGGTGAACCATGAAACCCGATTTCGGTTCATTAGTATCGCTTGGGCAAATGCAACATCTGTTTTCAGCTGTGACACCTTTATAAAACCATAAAGTATTCATTCTGTCCACGGTCAATTGATGTGGGCATTCGAAATTTGGAGCTGAGTTTCTTAAGCCTTACACAATATGCTGCTCTGATGTTGGCCATTATAGGATTTATGAAGAACCTGTTAATGCAACCTCTTGTTATGGAATGTCAAACAATAATACAAATGATCAAGACTAAGCTTTGTAAATTTTGTTTTACAAGCCAACAAAGATATATATCCCACACTACTCACTTTCTAAAATCTAACCTGTAAAGAGTTGAACTCGGCACCTCATGTGCGGAAGGCGTTGAAGTGAACCACCATAGCACCACATTCATTTGAACACATTTAGTAATATAAATTATTTGTTACATTAACTTCATTTTCCATTAAGCACAAGATTAATTAACGTTGTATAAATTTATGTATTTGGTTAACATATTAACGCAAATATGTGTATCCTAAAATGTAAAAGTAGTTTAAATAAATATTTTTTAATACCTTTATTTTATATTTAAATATAATTTTAAATACCAACGAGGGTTGGTTCAGTTGGTAAGGCTTTCGAGTCCCACTGCCGGCAGTCTTTTGTTTGTGGGCGATATTGCGTAATGCCCTGGAGTGGGGTAGCCAACCCTCCTCCTAAACTTTTTTTGAATACAAAGAAAATATATAATTTTAAATATATTTATGACATAATTATGACATACAGTTTAATTCTGGTTGACCCGACTGTTGGATGCCATGTTTTTAAACTTGAAAATTAATACGAAAACATGAAAGGATTGATCTTACATCCTATCCTAGCATCATATTTTAAGATATTATAGGTGCTTACAGTACTGATCTTATATCTGAGTAACATAGTTACACATTGCAGTACTATTTAGTGGCTGTGGGTGGGTTATGCTTTTTGGTTTTACGCTAGTTATGAATTGCAAAACTATTGAGCACACATGGTTGGGATATTGTATTTTGTTTGTGGAATTTGATTTCTTCTTCCAGTATCTGATGACTATTGTTGTTTCTATGTGTGCACTTGTGCATGAATATGGTAACACGGCTGTAATTATATTTTTAACTAGCTGCTCCAATCATGTTGTTCTTTTCAGATTATAGGTTAATTACGCATACAGAAACGCTTCAAATATCATAATATTTTTGTCAATCCAATCTGAAGACAAGGAAAAGCTACTGTTCGGCAAGGAAAACTTTACTGCATGACCTTTTGACATTTTTGCAATGTCATAGTCCTCCTTTACATAACCTCTTTATACATAAAATGATGTTGAGAGTGTTAGCCATATAGTTGTTGGATCTTTGGGTTCCGGTTTTTGAATGAATATATTGCATCTTCTTGTTTTCAACTCTTCCATCCTTTTCAGTTTAATGTGGAAGTTACAGGACTTGGCCTTGTAATACATCAGTTTCTTATCCAACAAGAAATGCAGAAAGGCTGGGCTTAAAACATATCCACGTTTTATATGGTTTCTCGCTATGTTGTGTGGAGCAATCTCTAGCATGTATAGTTAAACTATTTATGGAGGGTGATTGGAAGACCATCTTACTTCTTTATTTTATGCTTTTGTTTTTTGGCTATCAAGAGACAAATCTATTTATAAAGAGGACCACCAAAATTTGGAGTGAAAATTATTCTGGACATGATTGTAGAGATACATTAGCTGTTGGGTTTTCACTCAATTCCCTTTAGTTATGTTTAGTTCTACATGCATCCTCTATTTGTTTTCACTTGAGTCTTGCATGTTTTGTATGCCAATTGTTTGATCTTGGTTCTGGGTTTTGTGAATGCTTACTGTCATATCAAAACTTGGACCACGAGTGGCATGATTTATATGGTCATGCATATTCCTGGTGCTTGTAAAATTTATCAAACTTATCTGCAGTCATCTCTGAACGGATCAGCTTCAAATCTTCCAGACAGTACTGGGCGTTCTTTTGCTACATCTTTTTTCCCCTATGGAGTGAAAATTATATAATCATTTTTTCCCCTAGTTCTCTTTCTATTTCTTTTCCATCACAATTTTATTATGATCCAAAAATAAAGCATTAGGAGTGCCGTGTGTGTGTGTGGGTTGGGGAGTGGAGATGGTGATTGCTTGACCTCTCATGGAGCTACTTTTTACGTGCCTCAAGAGCACATGATGACTTAGACCTTGGGTTTGGTTGAGGCATATGATGACTTAGACCTTGGGTTTGGCCTAGTTGTCATCTTAAGGTGTGAAGGTGTGGTGAGGGGAAAGTCAGATGTATGAACTAATAGAATAGCGGCGGCTCCTTTAGTTGTTATCTAATATTACTAATAAATTAATATCTTACAATTTTGGGGAAAAAAAAGAAAAGACAAAAGAAAGCCATGCAAAACTTTTGAATTTCAATGGGTAATTTAGCACCACAAGCTTAGTTCATTGATCGAGAGAGATGGAGTCTCACTCTCTCAATGTATAGGTGGGATGGTCACTCAAAATAAATCAAAAGAAACCGTTACCTTTTAGGTCTACAATGTTAGTGGCAATCAAGATTTTACAAAGCTATGGCTGTGTTTAGTTTATAGATTTGGGGAGAAATTTGAAAAGAAAAAGAGAGATTGTGTGAAATGTAATTATATTTTGCACACATTTTATTTACTTTTTTTTCTTTCTCTTTTCAATCTCTTCTCAAATTCATAAATCAAACAGAACATAAATGTTTTTTTTCCTCACCTACGGTGTAGGGTCCACATCTAGTATGAATCTCACATCCTGTAGAATTTCAGATACACATTTGAGTAACCATCGTGAGTGGTGACCTAGTTGAGAAAGTATCCACTAGGGTGACCTAGGTTCAAATTCTTAGAGTGTGAAAAATGGCTAGATTTTCAGTTAGCTCTTCTTGAGATTTTGCATTGTATTTCGATCGATTTTGAATTCTTCTGTGGCGTGTGGCTGAACTCCATTGATACTTTGGTGGTGAGTCCCTTTCCATAAGTTGGGTTAAATTTGACCGACAACTGACTATTCTGAGATTAGGGCCTACGGATGAACTGACTATCCTGAGGTTAGGGTTTACAGATGCAGTGATGATACCACAAAATAATTTTTTTAATTTTTGTTCAACAAAACAAAAACAAAAGCACATTCGAGTAGTTTTGGGCAGGTTTTGAGCGCTTGTTCGATTGCACATTGTACGTATTAACTAAATGTTATTATGCTTGCTAGTAATAATTAGAGAATTCATGTGAACGTATATTTGTTTGGTAAATAAAAGACGCTATTGCTCAAGTCAAATTCAGACACACTTTTTTATGTGGAATGGAATTTTGTCCTGTTTTTAAACAAAACAATAATAATAATAATAATAATAATAATAATAATAATAATAATAATAATTTTACTCCAAAAAAATGAAAGGAAAAATTATAAATCCATGGTGCCTTTACAAAATATATTTACAAATTCATACAAAAATTTATAACTTTAATTATTAAAGTTGATCAAATTTACCATTGTACCATTGATTTGAATTTTTTTTGAAAACATGCACTGAATTGCAATTTTCCCATAAAAAATTGACTATCCCTCTAGTAGCTTAAGGTAGAAGAGTTGGTGGTTAATAATTCAGCATGGATAATGTATATATGCATGTGTATAGATTGTGCAACATGTACATGGGTTTCTATGTTTCTTCTTTTATCTTGTTTGTTTTTGATTAGGTTTGATTTGTGAATTGTGTTTTATGACGTGATTTTGTAGAGTTCTGAGAAGCCGTAGTGTTGGAGAGTATTGTTGGCAGGGATTTTCTGCTAAGGGGTAGGTAATGAGCTCTCCTAGGTTTTTGTTTTTTATTATTTTGTTATGTAGTATGTTTGGCTGCTGACAGATGTTTGAAAATGAAATTTGAAACCAAGTCTTATGTTATTTTGGTCGTGAACTTTTTGTAATGTAAGTGAATTCATCCTAATTTGGGATTGGAAGCAATAAATTTCATTTTTTTATGGTCATGAGAAGAACATTACTCAAGGGGGAGGGGTGTAGTTGGTGGGGATTGAAACCCACTATGAATGTGGGCATGCAAAAATATATCTTGATTACAATCAAATGTGTCTACATGTTTTTAGTTTGAGAATGAGATGAAATCTTCTTAACCACAAAAAATGATAGGATGGTTGAGTTTTTTTTTGTTTTTTTATTCTCTTCTTTTGTTTTTATAGTGATCAATTAAATGGACAGTTTTCTCTGTTTGTCTGGCCTGCATTACTTTATTTCACTATGCAAAGCAAGGAGTTGAGAAGTATACTCAGTTTCTTTACTAGGAAAACAAAAAAATTCATAGATATATGTATGCCACTTTATACGCATATTGTTTTCCCGCTTTAAATATTGAGTCAAGCATTTGTATGCATATAACTGTGGACTTCATCCGCATTAGATATTGTCAACAGTTGCAAATATTTAATTAAATTGATGGGTTTCATATTGGTTACAAAAAAAAAAATCAACCAAATAACATAAGACTTGGTTTTGTTTTGTGATAATCAGGGTTCTAAACTTTTGACTTTGACAGATATTGACACAAAGAAGGATGGCAACATTTGAACTCTATCGTAGGTCCACCATTGGCATGTGCTTGACCGAAACATTGGATGAGATGGTTTCGAATGGGATTATGAGTCCTGAACTTGCTATCCAAGTCCTTGTTCAGTTTGACAAGGTTAATTTAACTTAGACCTCGTTTAATATCATTACAGTGAGATCTATATATTACGCACAAATATTTATATGGTTTTGTTATATTTTTTTCATTGTTTTGTGAATTTCAGTCAATGACTGAAGCTCTGGAAGCCCAAGTTAAGAGCAAGGTGACCATTAAGGTACAGGTTATCAATAAGCTTTGCCTATGTTTTTGTACCAGTTGGTCTTGAATAATTTGCCACATATTGCTTGAAGTTTTCCAATTGCGTTAGGAAGTGAAGTTTTTGGGGAAAAATTCGAATGAAATTTGTGTTGAGTTGTATTCGTTAACAGGGTTGTTGCACATCAAAATTTCAAAATAATGCACCAAACTTATATATTGTAATTAATCTAGACTTCATACATATTTGGAAACCTCAAATCAGCAGACCAAAAGAGCTGTTCAACTTCAACCAGTGAAAGAAGGCTTCAGTGCAAATAAAACATGGGTACACAAAGTCACTTGTAATCTTGAAGATGCTTCCTCTATGGACATTCATTTAATCATTTCCATAAAAGTAATGCCTAGTACCCTATTCTTGCTCTGCAAAGCATATATAATTATGGATAAGTTCTAGAGGACCAAATAAAGTTAACAACAGAATTCAAATGAGGGAATCCCCAATCCCTTTGAATTGGACATGCGCCCAATAGTTGAGAGACTCTTACAGCACTGCTATTTCCTTGTCCAAATTACATAAATTAGATAAGACTCTTCTTTTTCTATTATATGTCAACACCATGCTTGGGATTGGAGCAGCAGCCTATACCAATCTAAATCATTTTCTTCGGTAATAACAGGATTTAACCACAATATAATGTAATTGCTAAGCCAATTTGGTCCAAAGCTTAGCATGTGTGGAAGTTATTCCCATAGATGATGGACATGTTACATACTTTTTGACAGTCGTAATACTTTTTTTTTATTAAAGCTTAAGCTATTAGGAAATGGGTTCAACATTGTATATGAAATTGACACTCTTGTGCGACCTTATCACGCATTTGGAGAGAAGAGAACAAATTGAGTGCACACTTAGAGAGGACAAATTGAGTGCATAATAACACAGATAATGAAGGAAACGAGATTTGAATCCAAGACCTCTTGGAACCATAGCTATAATACCATGACAGAACACCAAATTTTCCAAAAGCTGAAGTTTGTATGGCTAGTGGCAATCTTACATGGCATCAAAGTTCTAGTTCCAAAAGGTCTTGGGTTCAAGTCTTGTCTCCCCTATTATTGTGCACTCTGTGCTACTTGTCTTCGTGCTTGCTCACTCAGTTTGTTTGCCTCACACACTGTTGGGCTCATTTTTTAATACTTTATGCTTTAAGATGAGTTGGTGTCAACAACTCATCAAGCTTAGAGGTGCAGCAAGTTATCTTAATATCTTCTTAACACACCTCGTGCAAGTTAAGAGTCTAGGCAATACCTTGTGCCCCTTTCCTTGGCCAAGAGGCATGGACTAGGCTTTTTGAATGACTTAGCAAACACGGCGGGACTCTTGCTTCTTGTGGCTTGGTGTCTGCATCAATTTGTTTAAACTGTCATCTCTGAACCTCACTTTCAGCGACAGTCATGTTTCTTTGTTTGTAATCCTTCCTTGCTTGCAATTCACTCAATATCTGTTATTATTTCACTTGTTACATACCCTTTTTGTTTTTCATTAGGTTCACATTGATGTTAACCCTACACTGGTGCTGATTTTATTTTTTTTAAAATTTTTTTGAAACTTTTCTATTATTTACTATAGGGGCATCTGCACACCTACAGATTCTGTGACAATGTTTGGACGTTCATCCTACAAGGTGCATCATTCAAGACTGAGGAAAGCCAGGAAACTGTTGGTCAGGTTAAGATCGTGGCATGTGACTCAAAGCTGCTCACGCAATGAGATTCCACAGATTAACGGAACAGTGTGTCCAAAAAAGGAGAGTCAGTTTATTATTCTCATGGTAGCAGAAGTGGATAAAGCGAAGAAAATGGAGGTTAGTCAGAACAAGTTTCAGTTGCAGACGTTGCGGGAAGAATGAAGACAATTCATAGAACCCATCAACACCCGACTGACAACTACTATTATCTGATGGATGTTGCTCGGATCATGGATTAATTTCTTCAGTATATAAAGTTTTCGTTATAAATTTTGATACATTGCCCTGTAGCTTGAGAATCTGTTATGGACTCTCCATTTCATCATGAGAAGCTATGTTTGGTCATGGTTTCTGACCTAGTAACTTGTTTGTAGTGCACCATTTTCACGATAGATTGCTTAAGAAAGGCCAAGGCCGAATAGAGCAAGGCTTAGAAAAAGCTTGGTCCATGTTCTGTGCAAAAACTTCCATTATTTTTCTGTTTCTTGCTGATTTTGGTATGAAAGCTAAGATTTTTTTGGACAGTGCCTTGGGGTTGGAGTGCCTTGGAGAAAACTTGGAAGTCACAAGTTAAACAAATGGTTTGTTAGGGCCAGTGATCTATACTATCAAACTGGATGGCAGTGATTTGGGCCAATCTTTTGATTGTGTTTTTGTTCACTTCATTTTTTGTTTTCCTTGTTTTCAAAAGCAAAAATAAAACACAAAAATAGGGAAAAGTTTAGAAACACTCAATTGTTATTATTTTTGAGCAAAAATAGTTTTTGAAAGGTTTTCTTTTCTGGATTTAAAGAAAGAGAAAAAAAATGTTTGTTAAATTAAGTTTTTTATTGTTTTGAGAAATAAAAAAAGAAAAAGAAAACATAGAACAAAAAGCAGCCAAATTTATACATAAATAAAGTGATGGTATGTATGTGTTGATTTATTTCAAATTAAAAGACTTATTAAAGTAATTTATAATTTTTAAAATGCTACTATTATACTATTTTATTAAAAAAAATTATGTGAATTTTTTATTTACAAATTATTATTATTATTATTTTTTTTTTGTTATAGGAAAATCCTCCCTACCGTCCAAGGCAGTGTCCCTTGCAGAGATTACTATGGTGTCCTGTTAGCCGTTCCGAGCGAGGAGACTGTGACCTGAGAACTTGTCCCGACCTCCCAAGACAAGCTCTGCTTAAGTTAGGACTCACACAGCGGAGAGCATTGAACCCACACCAAGTACTGATTAGACAATTTGAGATCCAACCTCCTAACCAATTTCGTTTTGGAGATTAGCCCAAAAAACAAGAAATTAAACTTATAACTTTGAAACTTAAAGCCTGAATAGGACACTTAATCCTAATCCGAGAAGAACACATATTCTCACAGTCTTCATTGTTTGTCTATTGATTCAGTATATATTTAGAGGTGTAAAAAGCTGCAAATGAAGCACCTCTAAGGTCAGACTAAATTTTTAAGCATTATAAAAAAGAGAATATATATTAGTTGAAGACCAGTATAGCATTGTGATGAGTAGAATTTTATTTTATTTTATTTTTTGAACGGAGAGTAGAATGGACTTGAGATGGTACCTGTTTTGCATAAAACTAGATCCAAGTGTTTGGACAGCATGTTGAATGACCAAACTAGAATTTGAGATTTTGTTGTTGTCTTTTCCTTGTTTCCCCTTTGCACTGATTGACTGGCCCACAAAATGGATGGTTTTTTAGCATGATGGGCATGAAGGTTGCATAATCACAAATGAGAGGTTTTCAGAGGTCGTCTTGCACTATACACTGTTTAAAGTGGGCGGGTAGAGTAGAAAGGGCTTTATGTAAGTAAGATCTTGTAAGATCGACATCTTTTTGCCACTAGTTCTTTTATTATCTGACTCTTCTGTGAACCCATTGGTTATGCTTGAATGGCAATTATTTCCAGGATTAAGGTTCTGTTTATGTCAATAATACTATATTGATCTGTTTGAAATTTTTAAGAAAAGAACTTGTAATTGACATAGTGTTTTGTAATATCAGTCAGTGTGGAGTAGGATTTACATCTTGGTCATGACCTAAGTTGGATGAAATAGCTAACAGCTTTACACTATTGTTAAAGTCCATTTTTTGCTTATTTTTCATCCATCAATGGAATACAATTTGAAACTATATATGTTGTGTTGTCTTCCCGATGCTCATTTAATTATCTACGCTTACTACTCAACTTGCTTTTGATAGGAAGTTATTGTGATTGTTGTGATAACTTCTGCCTCATTGGGAAGGGTGGTTGATAACCCAAATTTAGCAATAATTGAGATTCTCTATCTATATTAGAAATCCTTTCTCTTCCTACTTTTAGTTAGAGTTTGTTTGGATACTTTTATTTTTACCAGATTTTATCTTTAAAAAGTTAAAATCTGCTAAAAAATAGTTTCCAAACATGCCTATAAGTACTTTTGGTTGTGGGGGTAGCAACCAACTTGTAATTGGATGCCCTGGTTGATTAAATTATGTTCACTAGTTGTGTTGTGTGTAATTCTTGTTGGATGACATTAGATTTCTTATTATTCTCTGCAAAGATGAAGATGTATTATGTTTTTGATTGCTGACTGATGCTTTTGCTATAGTAAATGACATTCTTTGGATTCAGCTTCTCCGCAGGTGATTTCTATGCTAGGAAATTCCTACTATCGCAAAGTCATGTCCAAGCTATCAATAATCTTAATTCTGTGGGAATGTTGAATGATGTAAATTCCAATGATGGTTCTCCCTTTGATATAAATGATTTCCCTCAACTGACCAGTCGCCCCAGTTCTGCTGGAGGTCCTCAAGGACAATTGGGTAAGTTAGGTGCTTATTTTTGCTTAGCATAGTCCTCTGCAGGTCTTTATGCCTGCAATTAGATCATTATTTTAAGCAAAGAATTTCAGGTTCGCTTCGTAAACAAGGTCTTGGTGTTAGTCCTATTGTTCAGCAAAATCAAGAGTTCAGCATCCAAAATGAAGATTTTCCAACTTTACCAGGATTTAAAGGTTCTTATATGCTTTTATTCTCTCTCTATCTCTCTCTCGTTTTTGTTAGAGTAATTTTTAAGTCATTGTCACTATTGATGTTATTTGTTCGGGTCAGGTGTTCTTGTAATCTATTTGTTTGTCTGGTGATCAGTGAAGTGCCTAAAAAGCCTGTAATAGAAATTTTTGGGCGGCCTTTTACCATTGTTGCTATGTCAGATAATTTTTTTTTTCCTAATCATTAAATTTACATCTTAGGAAGAGTTAGGGACGTTAGATATGCATGCTTATCGCTCTTAACGGTTCATGTCTAGGTCCATTGGATATTAGGCAATGTATGCTGTTCTTAACAGCTGTGAATTTTTAAAATTGTAAGATGTTAATTTTTTGGGGATTCTTAGTTATATGACAATAGAAATTGCATATGCATGCAGTAAAACCAAGTTCGATGTGTCATATGGCTTGTTGCTCTGGATGTGAGAAACTGTTTATGCTGTAATTTGTTCGATCTTGTCTTCTGACTAGCATGTTTTTCACATTTTGTTATGACATACAACAATTTTATCTCTATGCCCTGGTAATGACCTGCTGGATGGAAACATATTTTGTACAAAAAAAGGGAATATTTTTGGCAGCGTCAGTGCATCATGCATGTAATATAGCTTACATTTTTTATTTCAGTACAATGCTTGGGATTTGGGTCACATCACATCTTCAGACAAAATAAACTTTCACCCACATCTTACTGACTGTTGTACTAGATATTGGACAGGTGGCAATGCTGATTATGCCATGGACTTGCATCAGAAAGAACAACTTCATGACAATACCGTGTCCATGATGCAGTCTCAGCACTTCTCTGTAAGTGTTAATTTGTGAAAGATTTTGAGTATTTACCGTAATATCATCTGATGCTTTGTCTTTTCAATTTTGCCCTTATACTTCTGTGCTTTAATGTGCAGATGGGGAGGTCTGCTGGATTGAACTTGGGAGGATCATATTCATTGCATTGTCCACAGCAGCAACAGCAACATGCACGATCAGTCAGTAGCAGTGGCTTCTCCTTTTCAGCTGTAAACAACCAGGATCTTCTCCATCTGCATGGCTCAGATATGTTCCAATTGTCTCATTCAAACTATCACTCGCAGGTGTGTTAGTGTTGTGACTTTAGTGGGTTATTACGTATGTAGAGGGTGTATGGATATCACAATTGAATTGTTTTACCTTATCCAAAGACCACTCGTTCCTTCCACTGCAACACTGGTGGAGTTCTAAATTTTTAAACCCCAAACTAAAGGTTTTCTACCACCGGCACTGAATCACCACCTTACCATTTTGTTCCAAGAAATTGGTATGTGGTTTATAGAAATGAATCTAGAATCAAATGTCATTATAAATACCTTGTAGGTGATGCAGATTGATTCAAGTTGCTTCTTATAAGAGAGTTATTTACTAAATATTTTCAGAATATGCTGAATATGATTTTTTTCCCCGTGCTCTCTGGTTTGGCGTTCATGTCGTAAAACATTTCTGTACTGTCCATTGAATGACATCATCAAATGTCTATTTGATATTGTTACAGACCAGTGGACCGCCTGGCATAGAATTAAGACCTCTGAACTCTCCGAATACAGTTTCTGGTATGGGGTCTTATGACCAGCTTATCCAACAGTATCAGCAGCACCAGAGTCAGTCCCAGTTTCGCCTGCAGCAAATGTCTGGTGTAAATCAGTCATACAGGGATCAGGGTGTGAAGTCCATGCAAGCACCACAAGCTGCGCCCGATCCATTTGGTTTGCTTGGTTTATTGAGTGTAATAAGGATGAGTGATCCTGATCTGACGTCGCTTGCACTTGGAATTGATCTGACAACACTTGGGTTGAGCTTGAACTCGACTGAAAATCTTCACAAAACATTTGGATCCCCATGGTCAGATGAGCCTGCTAAGTGTGATCCAGAGTTCAGTGTGCCTCAATGCTATTATGCTAAACAACCGTGTATTTTAAATGTAAGATGATCTCTCTTCTTGTTTTTGGTCTGCTTTTTTTGGTAGCTACTTTCTTTTCTTACTCAAATATTTGTTGGTGTGGTTGCAGCAATCGTATTTTATGAAGTTCCCAATGGACACATTGTTTTACATCTTTTACAGGTGTGTCTCTTGCTTGGTTTCTAAAAAGTCTTTTGGGTAAATTACAACAATATCACTCAATAAAAAATGATACGCTTTGCCACCTGAAGTATCAATTTGTATAATCTGTATCAATCTGAACCTTACATTAAGGTTCTGTTACATAAATGGATGAAAAATTGACATATGCTTTGCATATGACTCAAATATTGTGAAATGCTTAAAATATACTTAATCTTCTATTTCCCTTCTTTCCTCAAATCTTTTTGTGAATCTTGTTATCATAAGGTGATAATAACTTCAATTCTTATTATGCAGCATGCCAAAAGACGAAGCCCAGTTATGTGCTGCATATGAACTGTATGCTCTTTCAGCCCTAGCTACTCTAATTTATATAGATGTGTATATTTACTTTCACCAACTGCTCGTTGTGTACCCTGAATTGCAATTTGTGAAGCATTTACATATTTTATTTTGAAATTTTACTTGAAGTATATCATCACATTGCCTTGCACTGTCCCTACTAACCAGTCATGTATGTAGGTTTGCAATTTGCTTATGGCTGTGTTACCTACTGTTTGCAGATACAACAGAGGTTGGTTTTATCACAGAGAGCTTCGTCTCTGGTTTATGAGGGTTTCCAATGTGGAACCACTTGTTAAGACAAACACATATGAGAGAGGGTCTTATATCTGTTTCGATCCAAATGCATGGGAACAATCCGCAAGGTTTGGATTTTCGAACACCTGTTTTGTTGATGTCATTCATTGTTAAATTTTTCCTCGCAATGACTGACTGCTTTCATTGAATCAATATTATTTTTGCTGCAGGATAATTTTGTCGTTCACTATGACATGTTGGAAAAAAGACCAGCTCTACCCCAACATTAACTCATATTTTCCAGTTTACAGTGTAAAGTTTCAGTTTAGTTTCAATGTTAGAATCTGAGAGTCAGTTTCCCATTTTAGTGTTCCTCCAATTGGCCATTGTAAGTAAATTGTTGCATAAATCTTGTTTTAGTTAAGTCATTTAGTCCCTTTTTTACATGATGCTAAATATAACATTAGAAAAGAAAAAAAAAATGAACTGGTTTTTATACTTGTTTTAATGAATAGTTCGGTTTTGATAATCACTTGATTCAAGTTCAGTTTAGACATTGCATGGGTTTTGCTTGATTTTATTTAGTAGTTACACTGTACTTTATTTATATTTTTATTTTGAAAATATTATTTATTTATAACCTAGAATATGATGAAATGAACTGACATACCAAGTTACACATGTACTGAATCCTTACCTGCCTAGTACTGATTATAATCTGCCAAATCGAATATGTACAAGTTTGAGAAAGCTGTGGCAAATTAATAATAATAAGAAATGTTTGTTTATGAAGTGGTTTGTGAAAATTGTGGCAAATTAGCGGCAAATGTGTATCATGCTGCTTTTGTGTAGTTGCTCCTAGAAATTTGTCTACAAATGTAGATCTGCTGGATTTTACTAGTAGGATTAATTTTTGTATGCAAGTGGGGCTTTTTGGATTTTGGATTTATGGAGTGAAAATTATATAATCATTTTTTCCCCTAGTTCTCTTTCTATTTCTTTTCCATCACAATTTTATTATGATCCAAAAATAAAGCATTAGGAGTGCCGTGTGTGTGTGGGGGTTGGGGGGTGGAGATGGTGATTGCTTGACCTCTCATGGAGCTATTTTTTACGTGCCTCAAGAGCACATGATGACTTAGACCTTGGGTTTGGTTGAGGCACATGATGACTTAGACCTTGGGTTTGGCCTAGTTGTCATCTTAAGGTGTGAAGGTGTGGTGAGGGGAAAGTCAGATGTATGAACTGGTAGAATAGCGGCGGCTCCTTTAGTTGTTATCTAATATTACTAATAAATTAATATCTTACAATTTTGGGGAAAAAAAAAAGAAAAGACAAAAGAAAGCAATGCAAAACTTATGAATTTCAATGGGTAATTTAGCACCACAAGCTTAGTTCATTGATCGAGAGAGATGGAGTCTCACTCTCTCAATGTATAGATGGGATGGTCACTCAAAATAAATCAAAAGAAACCGTTACCTTTTAGGTCTACAATGTTAGTGGCAATCAAGATTTTACAAGCTATGACTGTGTTTAGTTTATAGATTTTGGGGAGAAATTTGAAAAGAAAAAGAGAGATTGTGTGAAATGTAATTATATGCTGCATACATTTTATTTACTTTTTTTTCTTTCTCTTTTCAATCTCTTCTCAAATTCATAAATCAAACAGAACATAAATGTTTTTTTCCTCACCTAGGGTGTAGGGTCCACATCTAGTATGAATCTCACATCCTGTAGAATTTCAGATACACATTTGAGTAACCATCGGGAGTGGTGACCTAGTGGAGAAAGTATCCACTAGGGTGACCTAGGTTCAAATTCTTAGGGTGTGAAAAATGGCTAGATTTTCAGTTAGCTCTTCTTGAGATTTTGCATTGTATTTCGATCGATTTTGAATTCTTCTGTGGCGTGTGGCTGAACTCCATTGATACTTTGGTGGTGAGTCCCTTTCTATAAGTTGGGTTAAATTTGACCGACAATTGACTATCCTGAGATTAGGGTCTACGGATGAACTGACTATCCTGAGGTTAGGGTTTACAGATGCAGTGACGATACCACAAAATAATTTTTTTAATTTTTGTTCAACAAAACAAAAACAAAAGCACATTCGAGTAGTTTTGGGCAGGTTTTGAGCGCTCGTTTGATTGCACATTGTACGGATTAACTAAATGTTATTATGCTTGCTAGTAATAATTAGAGAATTCATGTGAATGTATATTTGTTTGGTAAATAAAAGACTCTATTGCTCAAGTCAAATTCAGACACACTTTTTTATGTGGAATGGAATTTTGTCCTGTTTTTAAACAAAACAATAATAATAATAATAATTTTACTCCAAAAAAATGAAAGGAAAAATTATAAATCCATGGTGCCTTTACAAAATATATTTACAAATTCATACAAAAATTTATAACTTTAATTATTAAAGTTGATCAAATTTACCATTGTACCATTGATTTGAATTTTTTTTGAAAACATGCACTGAAATATAATTTCTTCAAAACAAAATGTGTACCGGGTCTAGATAAGAGATGAGTAGGCCAATTTTAAAGCAATATAAAAGTGTCCTACTAATGCATAATATTTGTGTAGATATATACCTATAAATGTAACACAACAATGCTTGCATCACTAGTGTCAATATTCCACCCTATCAACTCGTGACTGATGTGCAGAGTGCAAGTGCAAACTGTGTATGATTATGAACTAGAAGATCTAACTTATGTTCAGTGAAAATAGGAAAACCTCTATCTGGAACGCTCTACACGTCAAAAAATCAAAAAAATACTCAAAAAGTTTGAACTTAGGTGTGATGGGTCACGGTCAAAATAAATCTGACACACATTACAAATTTTAAATATCTTTATTAATAATATATATATATATATATTTGAATAAATAGCATTGCTGATTAGTATTATGCCCACTACATAACTAATCTAAAGTTGCTTCCTGTTGTCAATTTGAACTTCATGTAGTACAAAATCTATGCTGATTCAGGATTGAGAAGTGCTCACGACCAAGCCTTTCAGCGCTGGCATGAAGCCTTCCAGGAGTTCCCTTTTACTCAAAATTCTATCGAATGTACAGTCTTCATCCTAACCACAAAGCAAAATCATTCATAAAATAGCAAGTGATCAGCATACAAAATAAAACAGGTCTGTGATTTACCGTAGTCTCACAAACAATGATTGTAGTGTTGCTAGAAAACAATTTTAACTCTATTAATAAATAGAAGAGAACTTTAAATGAATAGTATCAAATATTTACTTAAGAGTGCAATGGAATTGGAAAAAATGCAATATTAACTCACATCACCAGTTGCAGCAGACATGAGTGCTAAAAGGGTCACAGTTGCACTATGGTAATCCATTAAGATCTTGTATGCTGAATCATCTAATTTGTCCTGCAACATTGACCCAAGCTTGAGAGACAAATCAGAAAAAAAAGAAGAAAAAAGAATTAACCAACTCGAACATTGAATCCTAACATGTAAGAAAAACATCCAAATGTTCATGTAAGAAAAAAGAAAAAAGAAACACATCCATGTAAGAAAAAAGAAAAAAGAATTACCTTGCATACTGATAAACATATATTTTTCAAGTGTTCATGTTGCCGCATTTATTAGTAACCATCTACACATTGAATCCTAACATGTCTCTACAAACACATCCAAATCCTCTATAGGAGGTATATTTTGCAAAGATGCTTCTGGCTGGTCTAGGTGCGGGGGCTTGAAATACCGCCCACTTCTTGTCATATGATCGACCTCGCCGATATACCAGGTATCATCTGGCTGGTTACTCCCCCAATCCTCGTCTGTATGGGCAAGACATAAATCATCGTCTTCCCACCACATTCCGTCGGCGGTTGACAGACACCTGTCTGGCCCTGGTATGATCGTACTCGCAGTACCTTCAGCCCACATGCCCGTAGCGTCTTCTGTTCTTGTGCCCACAGCACTTTCGGCCCCTTCACAGGCTTTTGCCTTCCTGATTCTCTCAGAATCCCAAAACTTTTCTTGTTCTGACTGCATTAGTGTAGTTTGTGGTTCGACTTTCTCTACATCCACAATGCTCAAGTCCCGAGCGAAATTCTTCATACCGGCGCTCTCCGGCAATGTATTCTGACTTCTAGCCCTTCCGACCACAATTGATACTCTCGCCCCTGTCGGGCCCTGTACTGGTTGGAACTCTTCCACAATATCCGGTTGATCATCCAGCCATCCGGTAACCTCTGCCGATTCCTCATAATCAAACCAGTTGACTGCCGCGCCTCCTGATTCTTGGTCATCAAAAAACTGTAGGTTGGCAAAGTCCTCTTCTACAGCCGCCACGTCATCCGTTCCCTGCTCAAATCCGTCCCCTCGGATCGCACACAGCTCTGCCCTCTCTGTCAATTCAACATTTGGCTCAAACTGTCCTGCTGGCAGAATGTAATCACTCGGATTGTAGGCTTTCCCAAGGACACTCCCAGACTGCTCAAACCCTGGTTCAGTAATTCCATCCTCCTCTGAAATCTCCTCTGGTCTGTCTTCGACAGTTACCACCATTGGCTCGGGTTAGGTTCTGGAGATGTCTAACATGCACAAAAAGTCAGTGCAGTCAGGACGGAGCACCTCCGGCTTAGGTAGATGGGAAGGAGTGATATAGATACTGGGATCGTAAGACACGACCCCAGTTTGGATAAAATTGACTCTTTTGGGAGGTGGAGCTTGGTTGTGTGTAGGGAGTGGGTTAGTTGTGACATTGGGTTTTTCTAGAGGTAGGATCACCTGTTTGTCAATGAGATCTTGAATCTCATGACGCAGTCAGAAACATTGGTCAGTGTCGTGACCATGTTGTTAGTGATACGCACAGTATTTGGCTGGGTTATGAGAGGGAGGGAGCGGATTTGGCAATGGCCTCAGCTTCAAGGATTTTAGATGCCCTTTCCTGATTAATACCCCTAGAGCCTTGGATAGGGGCATATACAATGGGGTGAAGGTTCTTTGGCCACAGGGTTGGTATTTGGTTGTTTGGGTGTTACTTCCGGATGCATCGGAGAAAGGTGTGGCTGCCATGGGTCTTGGAAGGGGAGGGGGAATGGTGGTGACCATACTCACTTCCGAAGCCCTTGTAGTTGCAGCACCACTCGGGCCTGCATTGTTGTTGCGGTTAAAGATTCTTCTGGGCTGCTCTCTATCTTAGTCAATCAGACCCTGTTTCATTGCAGCTTCAATTTGTAGCCCCATCTCATGCAGATCCGAAAAGGTAGGGAAGGGGAGTACAATCATTTTTTGCATCAGTTTTGGCTGGAGATTGCGCATAATCATCCTGATCCGGTCCTTATCAGTGGGCCTTAAAGTCATCATCGAGGCCTTCGCCCTTCACCGGGTCACGAAATCCGAGAAACTCTCTTTATGCTCCTGTCTTGTTGTTTCGAGATCACGAGTTGTAATCTCAATTTGGGTGTTGTAAGAGTATTGTGCAACAAAGGCCTCGGCCATTTTATCCCAACTCCGCTTGACATCATCCTCCAACTTTGCATACCAGATAGCGGCCACGCCTAATAGGGTCCGGCCGAATAGCGAAAGCTTCTGGGGTCTGGTGAGGTCCATTGGCCGTAATATATCTGAGAATAGCCGGAGGTGGACCATGGGATCACCAGATCCGTCGAAGCGATCGATCTGCGGCATTTTGAATCTATCCGGCAACGTCACAGCCACGTCGGTATATCCGTCCTCGATATTCGGGATAGCCTTTACCCCCTGGGATTTTCTGAATAGTTTCTCGAGCTTGCTCAATTTCAGTGCTGTATGGTCTACCTCGAACTCGAAGGGAGAGTCCTGTTGATTGACGGGCATAGGTGCCTTAGATAGCTGGGGCAGAATTGGGGGCGGAGCTGGCCCCGTTGGTATGTCCGTATCTGCCTGGACATTTGGTGCCTCTTCGGGTGCCGGAATTCTTGGTGGGGGAGGAACTGGGTGTGAAGCAGATGCTCCGGCTTGTTGTTGCAATCTGGCAATTAACTCTGTCTGCTGGGCCATGATCTCGGCCTGTTGTCTGGCAAACTCCTCCCGGCGAACAGCGTCCTGCTGCATGGCTCTCATGGTCTCTTGCATCTGACGCATCATTTCTTCCATCCCGGCTATGTTCTGCTGACCCTGCCGACTGACTGGTATGTGTATCTCTATGGCAGAAACTGAGATCTCGGTCCGACTGTTTTCAGCTAGGGTAGACCACTGCTCTGGTAATCTCTGCTCAGACACACTGCGCTTTCTTGGCCTCTGTCTGATAACTGGGGGTAGAGAGTGAAACATTGGTTGTCCGTCAACCAGATCCTTGGATCGATTGAGTCGGCGACCTCTTGTCCAGGGTGCTTGGGGAATATCTACTTGGTCGGAAGCAATTGTGCTAAAACTGCCCTAGTAAAAAGATAAATAAAGCAATAAGGAAATAAACAGATAAACGGACAGCATATCAACTTAAAGTAAATGCACAACACACAACTGGGCATAATCAACACACGGTCGATAAGCTGAACACACACTGTCCTTAATCACTGATCTTTATCCCTGAATCACTGTCCCCAAAGACTGAATCTGATACCCGCAGATAACTGATTCTCAAACACTGACTGATGCCCACAGGCCTGACGCCTCAAACTCGCAAACTAATATATGCAACCCCTATAGAGACACACTCTGACAGCACATAACAGATAATTGAGAGCCAAAACACCCCTATGTTGGGGAAGGGTTTCCCTGTCCTATTTTGTCAGGAGCTAGGGTTTCACTACGCATGCAGCGGTTTCAAACAACCTATATCGGGTAAGCAACCTGTCCTAGTTTAGAATGGTCACTATGGATCCGAATATGCACTAGGTCGAATGGTCGAAAAGGGTGCCCCGGTAAAACCAGGGTTTGTGTTCCCATACTGGCAGAGCCCATAACCGGTCAGCCTTATGGTCATGTCTTGACAAGACAAGCCTCCGGCAAACCGTTCAGGAATAGCAGATGGCAAACACAGTGTCCTAGGCGCACCAATGCAAATGCAATGCAAAAAAACACATAAGTGTAGTCAAAAACAGATATCATGAGTTCGAGTCAAGTTCTCTAAGTCCCCAGCGGAGTCGCCAGAAACTGTAGACGTCCCCGAACGCCCCGGGAGTGATGAGGTCCCGTTCTGTTCATTTGGGGTTCACTACAAGTTCGGACTCTTAAATTGTCACGGTTCTTAATCTAAACCAAAGAGTCCAAATTCGGCAAATTGTTTTGAGAATTTTTGAAAGAAGTGTCAAACATGGACTACTTTGCCAGATACAGAGTCGCCACCTAAATATTTTATTTTTGAGAAATTTGGGAAACCCTGACTCGTTGCCTAAGGCCACGTGTCCGTCATCACCAAAGTTGCCTCGGCTCGGGAACTTGGGTACGATTGGGGAAGGTCACTTCATGAGCACCCCCGCTCGCTCGATCAAAGATCGGCCTCTACTAACCATGATATCTAGTTTTGAAAACTCTATGCGTTCTTATTCCGGTTATTAGCCTAAATTTACTATGTGATGCGCACAGCATACAAGTATAGACTGGATCGTCTGAATTGAAACAAAACATTTCATGTTTATTTTTTGAAAATGGTTTGATGGTGCTACCCGCAAGCAGGCTAAGACATGGATTTGCCACCCTCGGGTGGGCTTAGAAAACATGATTTTGCCACTATCTAGTGGGCTTAAAACACACATTTTAACGAATTGCTCCAACTCAAATAACCCAACCTTCACCCACAGGCATTCAGGCAGTTATATCACATAAGCAAATAGCCTCATGGTAAGCATGCTATTCATGGCAGTCACTCACACGCATGCAAGGATGCTAAAGCATAAAACTTACCAAGTACTCCAAGCCTTAGAAATCCATGCATGATCCTAACTATACAGAAATGCCTAATGCAACACATGCAAAATGCAACTAAGTTAGGCTCGGCTATTCTAAAAATGGCATGTGAGATGCTACAACTAACAAGTATTCAACTCGGAATTGAAATACAAATGCAGTTAGTACGATGCGCCAAGCCCGGTGCATGCAAGACAGATGAATGAATGCAAACATGCTATCATACTGTATGCTAATTGAGCGCCGAGCCCGGTGCATGCAAGACAGATGAATGAATGCAAACATGGTATCATACCGTATGCTAATTGAAACATGTCCTAATCTAACCATCATAAGCTGGTAAATAAAAGGGAGAAAGACGTGGGGTTGGAAGACATACATCACACACACGTACGCTTATTACAGTTGTGCCCTCACTCGGAGGGTCCGAAAGAATAATACAGTCCCAAATAAATAATTACAGTCCCGAATAAATAATTACAAAATCCTAATTAATTAAAAAATTAACTAAGAAAGCAGTAAATTGCACGTAAATCCGTGGACCGCCCCGGCTCTGTTCCGACTGAAGGATGATGCATGCTTGAGTTGCCTTGCGCGAAAATCCACTGCGATGCCCCAGTTTGCCTCTGTTTGCAATTGTTCTTGGAATGCGTGCCAAGCTCCGGAAGGCTGCTGATTTCTGATTGGCTGCAACAGAGAGCGACAAAGGGGCATGGCAAAGTATTTTCACATATGTATGCATGACTACTCTTCAGGGAGTGTAGTCCTCGATCCTCGTGCCACCAATCGTGCATCTCGATGCATGATGACCGAGGAGTCGAT